CCAGGGTTTCGTATATTTTAACCGTTCGGTGAAATAGAATTTCATCGACCGTTATCAGGGTGTACTGCGAGGAAGTGTACCCCGCTGACAATGGTCAGTCCTTACAAGAAATTCTTTTCAATCTTTATAAAAGTGATCTACCAATCACAATATCAAGGAAATTTATCTAGGCTCACAATATCACACTAGCTACACAAAAAATAAGTTTGAAATTTCAGAAGAACGCTAACAAAAGACCTAGATTTATCATCTCTGACTATCTACATATATGGTGACTTAAACCCAACGTAGATAAAACTGTGGTTACAACCTTTCACTTAAATAATAGTCTGGTCAAACCCATAGTCATAAGGAAATTGATAAACTACTGTGTGACGGAAAGGAACGAGATCCTACATTGGTGGTTATTACACCTTTAGCCATGTCTCAGAAGATGGACTCTTTCACGTCTTGACTTCATCCCATCCCATGGGGTACAAATGTACAATGGGTGCAAAAGTGCCTGGCAGTGGCCAACAGGATGCGCATTTAAGGTATTTTGTAAGTTTCGTAAGTCGGCAGCGTCAGGTATTTACCCCGTTCAAGTTCCTTCCCTTCTACTAATTCGGTACTAACACACTGTAACGTGGTCGGGGATGACCCGTTAAATATAAGATAGTCAGGGAAGAAATTAATTCTTTTGAATATATTTTTACCGTAGCTCGGGAGCACGAATGGTATCAGGATCTTAATATTAAAAATAAATAACGATTGATCTAAATTATTATTAATACAAACAAATTATTTATTATAACTTACAATTTACAAACAAAGTTACCAAAAATGTAGGATTGTACGGAGTTCAGGTGCACGTGATGGACTCGCGGAGAACTGGCATTCTCTTACATAGGGATATTGGCCGGAGCCTTACAATCATAAAATATATATGTGTCACCTAAACCGGAGGGGCTTAATATATTATTATAGTCAGCGCATAATATGCCTAATGTGCATATTATGATGCTTATAAAATAAACGTAATGAAGTAACATACGTTACAACACCCTCCGAAAACCATTCACATAAGTCACGGGCTCGCGAGAGACAACCAAGCAACCAATTTCGCGCATGGCTGTCGGACGTGCGTGCCAAAGCTAATTTGAGCACTGGTTATCAGTCGGGCTCTCCCGATTCTCGCGGAATGAGATCTCGGGATCCATAACCCCGGAACTCAGAACGACCGTTTTCTCACTAGCACAGATGTCGGAGTAGGATTTGTTCATCTACCGCGACACTGCATTTATGATTGGTATGGTTTTCTGTTCAGATTTCCGTTCCCGCACAGAGTGGTTTTTTCGGATTTTCAGTGGCTGACAGTAGACGACTGGTTAGGACTGCTACTCACACCGATACACTCACACTTAAGTGCGGGCTCTCGATCGAGTATGAATGAGAATGGGCAGAGGGTAGGTTGTTCTAATTACCTATACTCGGTTTATTTGGACCGATCCTTCCGTTCCATTTTTCATTCAAAGTTCTTTAAGGTACGTCACAAGGTTTTAAGAGGATTACTTTTTGATTCTCGTTTTCGCTCTAATTTTTCTCACTCGGATATTTTTTTCTCGTGAGGACTATAAGTTTATCCCACTTTCCCTTTGTCTCTAATTTTGGGAAGTTTGGAGTCCATCAGGCCCCTACATTGGAATCTTACATATTTCGCAAATTATTAATTCTTTCAAATGTCTATGTAGTATGCCGTAATGCATAATGTGCATAATGTGTACAATTTACTATGAAATTATATAGATTATTGACTATAATTGTCAAAAAAAGGTTTATGTCGTGAAATTTCATAACTCATGCGTCTCGCAAGAAGATAATTTACTACCTATACTTACTGAAACTTCTTATCAGTGTTTTTTTTTTTATTTACTAAATATTCAAATAGGTCTACTATTAATGTAACAACAATTTGAAAGAGAAAAATGTCGTACATCGAAGTATTTGAGTTTTAAACAAAATACTTGAATATCTTTATAACCCATAACATAAGATATACAAACGATGTTTATAAACAAAAATTCGAAATTAAATAAAAAAAATTAAGGTACTTTCTTGGCATAATAAATTGGTCTTTAGTCTTAATGAATTGCTTATATACTAATTTAATATCTTTAGAAATAACTAGAATAAAAATTCAAAATTCAAAATTTGAAGTTTAAAATTTCCTGAACATACTGAGTTCCCCTCAAATAGTTGAATTTAATCCTTAACGAATGGTTTAAAACCGAAATAAGTGTCTTTATAAACCATTCCAAACAAAGGTGCAAGAAACAAATGGTAAAATTATTTTTTTATTCCTGGGGGTGGGGTTTAGAAATGTAATATTATTACAAGGGGCAGTGGTAAGCTTTCCTGATTTTTAAAACTAGTAAACTCTCTCAGCTCAATATTATGTATAACTGAAGGAAATGTGTAAGCTCCCTCGAGTTGTTTTAAATGTATTTGCTACCCTATAAATTGACTAGGTACACTGCACAGATTGTGATTATCATTTTAAATATTATATTATAAATACTATACTCAGTTCAGGTTAAGATTGCACCTCTTCGAGCATGCAGACTGAGCCGCCAAAGAGTGCCTGACTCCCCATGCGATGGTTAGGCGTCTGTCATTGACCGACAGTCATCGCCGGCCGTCGTCGATCGTCGGTGCCGGTGCTGGTACTCTCACCCGTGTCCGGAATTCGAGGAAAACAATGTGTTTTACTTGAGTGAGCTGTTGTTCAATCTTAAATCTTAATCTGAACAAAGTATATAATACTATAATATTATTGATCACAGCAAAATTGATTTTTATTTTTATTATTTTTTATATATAATTGACTTATTTTTTAATTACCCTGTATAGTACAATATTATTCATTAGTATTATTTTCCATTTTATGTTTTCTTAATAAACATTGTATTTTATTTCATTATTACCATTATCAAGTTCTTTTGTCCTAATGTCTAAGTCCCTAGGATCAATAAAATGATTATTTTAAATAGATTTATTAAATAAGTAAGTATACAGAAGAAGTTGGTTTTATCACGAAAACTGAAATTTGATTCTGTACTATCTGTAAAAAGATAATTTTCATGTTTATTATAGAAAAAATATGTATTATTTGTTTATACTGTTACTTTTATTTTATATTATATATAATATTCCCATTTGTTTCATTTCTGCAGCCACATATTTCTTGTTTGTCTCTACATTATGCAAAGAAAATTAAATTGTCAATGTGGAAGACTTTAGTAGTTATAAAGATGGAGGCCCCATGATCCAATCGCTTAATAGTACTGAAGTAGACCCGGAAAAGTTTACATGTTCCCGTAAGGTAGTATTGGACTAAACCCGGGAGAGTTTACCATCGGGAGGGTTTACATGCCATTAAAGCAGGAGAGTTTACAATCGATCATTACTAGGTAGGTAAGTTAAGGTAGAAGATTAATTTATTACTAGATAATTTATATTAAAACATTTTAATACTGTAAATGTATCAATATGTTGATCTAGTGAATAGTTTAATTATATTGGAGTAAAATAACTCTATCAAAACTTTACCATGGGTAAATATTTCATAGGTTTACTTTCTCCCATAAAATACTTGCAACGTATATATCCCCCCCCTGTGAAATTTAACTCAGGATATTAACCCAAACATTGAAATTGACCTCCAGTAAAATATCGCTGCTGAATATTACACAAAATATACAGTTCCACCAGTATTTTATATTTGTTCAAAATAACTGCAATAAAAATATTTATATCTTACATTTGACGGAGTTTAATACTGGATAAATCCATGGGAATTTAATTTATGCACCATTCAAAATCAGCCACCTTGTTATCAATACAGTGAAATTACATAGAGTTATCTTTAGGATTCGGATGCATTTCCAAATCAATTTAAACAGTATCGTTTCAATTTTAAAATACTAATCCCGAATATTTATTAATTAAATGGTTCAATAAAATTTAAAGGACAAATCATGTTTAAAGGCCTATTAGCTCACGATTGATTCGTTAATTATTAAGTTATTGAAGATATTTGATCCGGCATAAGTGTCTAAAATAAATTATGGTATAAATACCTACTGTAAGTATTATAATATTGTCGAAAATTTAAAAAAAAAATGTATAGCTTGACTTATCCATCTAATAAATATTGTACTACGTATATAACATTATGTTAATATAATATTAAAATAATGCAATATGATTCGATGTTATGAATTCGATGTTATCGATATAATTAACAATCAAATATTATATTTTCTAGAAAACGTAGAAAAATTTTTTAGAGATAGTTGGTCATTATCTAAAATGGTTGAAAGTAAGTTTTATTCTTTAATGCTAATAAAATGTTATTATTATTTACATATATAACCATATTATGTAACTCATAGTACTCACTCCAGTAACTTTGTTATATAAACATGAGGTTGTGTTTGATTAATAACATATTTCTATTTCTAATGTAACAAGTGCAAATACTTTGTTTACAGACGTACTATTTACACCATACGAATATTGTTTAGAAATCTGTGAGTAATAGTATAAATAAATAAAAAGAAATTTTATATATCTTAAATATTATAATTTAATATTATAATATGCGTATTATTATAATATCTTGTAATATTATTCTTAGATTTAAGATATATATATTTAGGCCCACCAGTACTGTGCTAATTTCGTATGCGGAAAATCTAGCATTACTAATATCTGGGGAAAACCGTGGAAATTAATTACTGAGAATATATGTCGCTATGAGCCGAACAGCGAAAACTCACCTTCTCTGCGGCTAAGTCACAAACCCACTGATTAAAGGGATCACTGTCCAAGCCTCTTGATTTCCGACTTGGTGCAGCAAAAATCAAACCAACAACCGGGGTTAAACACCTCGGTGTTACGTTTAACGAGAACTGGAAATTTAAAAACCATCTGGTGGAAAAGCTAAGAAATTAGCAGCGATGTTTTGCCGACTACACGGTGTTGCTAAAACCAAGTTTGATCATAAAAAGGAAATTTCTAAGAACCTGTATAAGACGGTGTTCATACTGCAAATGAGCGAGACCTCTGTGTGGGCCCCGAAGATGACTAACGGGCACCACCGAGGAAGAGCTAACAGCGCTGAAGGGGCTCCACTACAAGTTATAAGAGGTGTGTACAAAACCACCTCAACAATGTCGCTGCCAGTATTAGCTGGAGTACCCCTTGTCGACCTGGACTTAAGACGAATAATCTGGATCGAAAAGGTTAAGTTCGTGGTTAGGAGAGGTGGTATGACGATGGCAATTGCCGAGATTAGAAAGGTTAGGTACGGAAACAACAACCTCAACCTCTGGTAAAGTAAGTGTGTCGCCAGTGGCATGGGTAGGTGTACGCGAAGTGGTTTCATGATGTGTGTGATGCAATATGGACCTATACACACTTCCCATCTGATGTCGGGCTACAGGAACTTCATTGATTCTCTCCACCATTTTAGAATTAGAGGCGATGAAACTTTCCTGTGTGGGTTCCCTAATAGAACCTATGATCATTTGCTGATGGAATGCCCGCTTGCGAACCAGGAAAGAGAAAAACTCAAACTCGAAGTGGGAGCGGCAGGTGCAGAATGGCCGTGCGACGTAGACTTCATGACAAAACCGAGGTCGTATTCTAGGCCGCTAAGTGTATTTGCTCACAACACATTTGGACCCTCTGATGAAGGGTTACCTCGTAAGACGCTATTGGTGATATAAGTAAAATTCCAATACAGGACCCGAATGAACATACAGTGGCCAAGGGAAATTGGGATACCCTACTATTCCACACGACAATAAATATCCGAGTGAGGAAAATAGGAGCGATAACGAGAATCCAAAATAATCATCTGATAACCTTGGGATACACCCACGAGAACGTTGAAATGGAAAATTTGAACGGAAGGTTCAGAATAAGCAACAGTTAACTCGAAAAACCTGCCAGCGGAAATCCGACGTGCCCTTTCTCATTCAAAATTCGATCGAGAGCTCGCACCAAAATCCAAACGACCAGGTGCAGAGCAGACCTAACCTAACGGAGTTACTAGACCCAGACTAACGGATTACCGGACCTGGATTAACGGAATCCCAAATCTCATTCTGTGACATTCGGAGAGAGCCCAACTGGTCAGTGTTCTGATTAAGTATGGCACACGCGTCCGACAGTCAGGTGCGCATATTAATTGTGAGGTTGCCAGGCTATCGCGAGTCCGTGACTTATGTGGATCGCCTCGTGGAGGTTGTAGAAGTACCGGCTTAGTAGAAGGGAGTTTGATCGATCGGAGTAGTTACCCGATGCCACCGACGCTTCACACGAAACTCACGAAATACTTAAGGTGCATGTCCTTTGGGCCAATTACTGCCGCCTGGGCGCACAGTGCACCGCCAGGCAGCGGTATGTAGTCTAGTCACATGGCACGGAGGAGTCAATCTTTCGACGTATGGCTAAAGGTCTAAGAAACCACCAAGTTATGGCCTTGTACCTTCCAGTCACTCAGTGGTTTATCAATATATCACATATATATCATACGATTACCTACTGCACGCGACTCGGGCTCTTTTCGGCCGGTTGCTGGTACGTGCGGCAAAGATCGGAGAGGGTTCACGCCGTGCAGTTTGTAGGGACGACAGTTTCGGCCGACGTCCGGGCCTACGGTACGGCTATCTTAGAGTTCGTGTCGTAGAGTACCAAACTAGTTTTCTTTTACATTCAATACACTTTCTGAACATTGTTAAATAAACCAGTTAATATCTATTATATATTACTCGTGTCGTTATTAAATACAATACACAAACCTCCGGTTTTTCTTACTGTCACCCAACCTTTTCTCATAGTCCACGCAACATCGCGTGGTGATGAAATATTGTTGTCGTAGAATCATAGTCTAGTTGTTGAATAGATCCTTACATTACCTTTGCCATGATCGATGAATACTGAGGTGCGACAAAAAATCATGTGTGTGGCTTTTGCAGGAAGGCAATTTTATTTCAGTCTTGGTGAAATGCGGTCCTCGCCTGTGACTGAAATAGCTTTCTTCCGCCCTTGCCACACAATATACTATTATTGTTATTATTATTAATCAATTTATTGGTGGTACTGTGTTTTCATTTCTATATTGGTACACCATAATTTATAATATATCTTTATACACAGTTTGTTTAAATGGGTCAACTAGTTCCTACATCCACTCCTGAGCCATTTCCACTTATTGTTATAGAAGAAGGATCAGTAACTAAGTAACATATATTGTGTTTTAATCTTTGATATTTTTACCTTCCTACAGAGATGGCCTCTCTGGAAGGCCCGTGTTCCGCAATCAGTTCAACCCATTAGTCATGCAATGGAAAAAGTTGTAAAACATAGAGCTTTTGTATTGTTTACTTGGTTGTTTACAGGATGATGCACTTCATATATCAAACACATTGTGGTATCTGAAGCTATATTTTACTTTGCATGGACCACGTTAGTTGATAGGCTCAATAAGCCTAGGCAACACATCACACTCATTGTTGACAAAATTGTGTCCTCTCCCTCACAATTCCTTTAGTTATTAGAAGAATTAAAAGTATTTTTGTTAATATTTTCGGAATAGATGCTCACGTAATTGAACATTCTGGATTTAGATTAAATTTTATTATTTTCCACCAAAAAAGTTATTGAGTCTGTTCGTAAACAAGTATTCCCCTGTGTATCTGACATGGTCCAATAAGTCAAGGATCGTGTATCTCTCCTCGATTACATTAACTTTTCTAATGGTCCAATTTGTCAAGTTATTCAACGGGATAAAAATAAAATCGTCTCAAATCATCAAGGTGATATGAGGTTGAAGATCACCCTATTAACGTCCAACTTTTCAGACAATGGTCAATCATGTTTCCTATTTTTTTCTAGTCGTCACATCTCTTTAAATGTCCCAGACTTTACACATTATCTATATAATATCGTTATCAACTTAACCGAGATAAGAAATTGTGCTTCGAGTGCCATATAACAGACATAGCTGTTAGTTGGGTTCTTCAATAAGTTCTTCAGTTAGAAACAGTCCAAATTAAAGTTCACAATCACTCAGGTGTCGTGTAAATTGTTAGTGCCGTTATCTAATCAGCTTCTTTAGTTAGCGTTTATATCTACATTGTGTGCTGCACTGTTCGGTCTTAAACATACTCGGTGGCCAGATCTTCTGACAGGTCTTAGTGGTATAAAATTTCCCCAGGTCAGAGATATTGAAGAATTCCTTATAACCCATCCGTAAAATGGTGATCACGAGATTTCTCTGTGAGGGTGGGTGTTACATGACACTACATTACTTATATTCTTAGTTTTCACATTTGGCGATCCTAAGCTGATCCATTTTACAACGATTGTTGTTCAGCGCTTGCAACAAGCTTAAATAATGGTCGAGTACTTCCCATTTTCAAATTCTTAGGTCCCCCCCACTAATGTCGTTACATACGCATCCTCATTTAATGATATTCATAACGGGTTGATAAAAATGCTGGGCTTTCAATCTAATTATTCCCAAGATATCTTTGGGCTTACATACAATCATTGTAGCGAAAAAAGTATTTGTATTTTCAATTATTGCTCGTAACTTTGACCTCCTTGGCTTCATCACCTCCATTATCTTTCAAACTGAACATTATATGCAATCAATTTGGGAGGTGAATTTAACATGTGAAGAAATTTGGCTGATGGTTGGAAAGCGTTTGAAGGTTTAGACTCCATGGTTTTTGGCAAGGTACATTCAATGTCAATTTAAATTAAGTGGATTTTGAGAAGCTTCAGAATGAGCCTATGCTGCTACAGTATATTTAAGAATCCTATCACCCATCAACCCAATTTCAGTGTCACTGCTTGGTTCAAAGACTTAATTGGCGTCTATGAAGTAATCTACCGTGAAAAGACTTGATCGCTGGATGTCTCGTGGTAAGAAGATTCTGTAACAAAAGGTATCCTTTGTGAATATATTCACTTGGCCTAATTCACAAATTGTTTTCAATTGATTAAATTCAACCATGAAATGTTGAAATTCTTTGTTTTAAAACAAAACGTCCATCAACATCAACTTCTACAGCAATGTAATTGGGGTTATGTCAGGTCTGCCAAAAATCCGATGCAGTGAGAAAGTTTTTGGCAGTGTCGGAAAAGGATTAGTGCTATTTTTAATAAAAAGTAATTTTACGTAAATTAAAGTAAATTAGCACATCTCCGGTTGAATAATCTACAGTAGGTGCACTGATCAAACTGGTTAATAATAGATTTAATCAAATGTTTTTTTAAATAAAATATTAGAAACTTATCCAATCTAAGGTAATAGATTTTCGAAAATTTGGAAAATTTTAATGTCATTCTTATAGAGATAAAAACTTGGTTTAGACTATTTATAGATTGGAAAATATAGTCCAGCAAAAGATATCCCGATTTGCGTTGATCCCATATCTATTGTAATTTAGTATCTAGAGTAATTTCGTTGTACACAAAAAAATCCTAATTAATCGTGTAAAAAATAACTGCCAGTTAAATACAATTTATAGTTACCTATACTGCCTATACATTTAAATACTATAATTTTTAATTCAATAACTCGATTTTATATTTTAAAAATGTAAATTAATATTTTTTTTTTCTTTTAAATTTTATTCATAAATCAAATATTTATATTTATATATTTGCAGTTAGCAAGAAGCATTATATTTTTGGTAATATTTTAATGAATATATTTTAAATTAGATTGTATAATTAATGTAAACTAAAGTTACAATTTGAGGAATTTTATATATTTTCTTTGTTTCTGTATCGAAAAAAAGAAAGTTTACAATATTATTGACAAATATTTATCCACCTATAATTCCATAATTTCTAAGTGCTAAAAAAAATATGTATAAACTTTTGAACATATCTTCTTGATTTATACTTGAAATATAATATGTTATTATTAAATATCACATTAGTATTTCTCTATAGATTCTGAGTGGAGCGAGGGATCTAGTGGTTTTGGAGTGGTGCTTATGTCGCGATCGGTATTTCGGCTACCCCGGTATACCGGCCACTACGTCTTTCTTGTCATCGCATGACAAGCTGGAGTCGGACGGCAGGTGGTGGGGGCCCGGACGTCTGCAACGACTGATATACCACTACTGTGATTACCTTATACCGAATAAACACTACTTAAATAGTAATTAACCAGAGGATCGTTATTGTGTGTCACCTTTTCGTCAACCACGTTCAGTATACAGTGTCCCTTATTTTAGTTTTTTTTTATCCTTTATACAAAATTTTTCTAACAGAATGATTCGATCTCAACATATAGTATCCTACCTTTTAGAATATTTTATCAAGATGGTAATTTCTTGATTTTCTCAATAGTTATTTAATGCCACGGGAAAAACCGTCGACAAATTACAAAAAAACCGCTAAAAACAATATTTTAAATTCTAACGCTTTGCATTTCACTATAGAAACAATAATAAAAAAGGTGCTCTGCTGTACAGTAGGTTACAAGTGGGTCACTGTATAATGGATAGTAATAAATTTGAATTCAATAATATAATATCATTGTATAAGAAAAACGATTCTGAGCGGAGAAGGTGTGTCAGTCTAGCTATAAGAAATATTATATACTTATCTATAGTATTAAACAAAATTGAATTATAATATTTACCTATAATAAATTCCAAATTAATCATATCACAACATCCATTAGTACTTATAACGCGTT